GATGACTGCATTATCAGCTGATGCGGAGGACCAACTTGTACCTTTAGCTTTTGCCTTGGTGGAGAAAGAGAATTCACGAGACTGGTGCTGGTTTATCAATCTTGTCCGACGGGTTGTGGTTGGGCCGCATAGGGAGGTTTGTATTATCTCAGATCGACATGCTAGTATAATGAATGCCATGACGACTCCTGTTCCAGGATTGCCACCGGTTCACCACCGATGGTGCATGAGGCACTTCAGTGCTAATTTTCACAAGGCCGGTGCGGACAAGCACCAGACAAAAGAGCTCCTAAGGATATGTCAGATTGACGAGAAGTGGATATTTGAGAGGGATGTTGAGGCACTAAGGCAGCGTATTCCCGAAGGTCCTCGTAAATGGCTTGAAGATGAGTTGTTGGATAAAGATAAGTGGTCTCGTGCATACGATAGAAATGGCCGCCGGTGGGGTTACATGACAACCAACATGGCCGAACAGTTCAATAGCGTGCTAGTTGGTGTTCGTAAGCTTCCAGTGACGGCCATAGTATCATTTACGTTCATGAAGTGCAATGACTACTTTGTGAACAGACATGATGAAGCTTTGAAGCGAGTCCAGTTAGGGCAGCGTTGGTCCACCAAGGTTGATAGTAAGATGAAGGTGTAAAAAAGTAAGGCGAACAAACACACTGCAAGGTGTTTCGATAAGCAGAAAAAGACATACGAGGTCACAGAGAGGGGTGGTATAACGCGTGGTGGTGTTAGATTCGGCGTAAGAGCCTTCAAAGTTGAAGGTGAGGGGAACTCATGTTCTTGCCAAAGGCCATTGCTCTACCATATGCCTTGCTCACATCTTATACACGTTTATCTGATTCATGCAATTGATGAGGAATCTCCCAACCGAATGCCGTATCAGTTCTCTTCAAGAGCCGTTGTGAACACATGGGCAAGTCGCTTTGAGCCATACCTCGACCCCACACAGTGGCCACCGTACGATGGTGAAGAATTTGTTGCTGACCCAAATTTGAAGATTAAAACAAGAGGGAAGAGGAGATCGAAATGGACTCGGGTCTGGGTGGTTCTGGAAGGAAACCACCTTCATGCGTTCAACTTGATGCTGCGCCGGTACAAAATAGATGCTCGTTGTGTCACCAGGAGGGTCACAAGAAAACTAAGTGTCCTAAGCGTCCAAAAAAGAAGAAGTCCAAAAAAAATATAAGTGTTAGGGAGGTAAATATTTTGTTTTCCTACTCATGTTCTCGCATTCATTTTCTGTTAATATGTCACATTGGTAACTAACGGTGAATTTATTACTTTTTCATGTAGGATGGCCGAGGAGAGACAACCGCCGACTTACCCAGCCTTGGAGGCGTACTACGAGGCCCGTCATCGCGGGGCTGCGATCGAGGCGGGGAGGGTATGAATCGGCATTGATTCACTTGTGCATAAGTATCTGTAGCGTGTATTTGACATTATATTAACTAATTGATTTACAATTGCTAATGCAGGTACTTCAACCGCTCCGAGTCAGAGCTCATGCCCCCCCAGTGTTCGACGATAGGTACATCCCATACCTAAGGGCAGCCGGGTTGCTCGGGGTGGCCTTGGTCGTGAGCAGAGGAATGCCAGTGTTCAACGCTCCTGCGTTGACAGCAATTGTGGACAGATGGAGGCCGGAGACACACAGCTTCCACCTCCCTAGTGGTGAGATGACCATCACTCTACAGGATGTGGCTATGATCTTGGCCCTCCCATTACGGGGGCATGCCGTGACGGGCAGGACAGAGACTCCTGGATGGCGTGCACAAGTGGAGCAGCTGTTTGGCATTCCACTGAACATTGAGCAGGGGCAAGGGGGGAAGAAGAAGCAGAATGGAATACCCCTGTCTTGGCTGAGTCAGAACTTCTCACATCTTGACGACGACGCTGAGCCATGGCGTGTTGAGTGTTATGCCCGTGCATACATCTTGCACTTGTTAGGAGGGGTTCTGTTTCCTGATGCTGGGGGTGACATTGCTTCGGCGATATGGATTCCTTTGGTCACCAACCTTGGTGATCTAGGCCGTTTCAGTTGGTGCTCAGCAGTGTTGGCGTGGACATGTAGACAGCTCTGTGAGGCCTGTTGTCGTCAGGCACCATCATCCAACATGAGTGGTTGTGTGCTATTGATTCAGCTGTGGATATGGTTAAGACTACCGGTTGGAAGGCCTAAGTGGAGGCAAAGCTTCATTCCTTGGCCCTACAATGAGCCAGACATGGAGAAGACAGTGGCCTACCTTTTTGAGAGTACTGCCACTGCACATGCTCACCGGGATGTGGCATACAAGCATTATGTCAATGAGATGGACTGCTTACAGCCTCAACATGTAAGTACTTCCAATATCACTTCTAGTTAGACATTTACTTCTTTAATTGAGATACTAACCAACGACATCTCTTCAACTTTTGCAGATTGAATGGTTACCATACCACACAAATGAGGCTTCAAGCCTGACCCTGAACTCGATGTGCAATCGAGACTCTGACTATTTCATGTACCAGTGCCCATTGATTTGTTTCTGGGCAGTTGAGTACCACCTTCCGCACCGTGTCATGCGATAGTTCGGGAAGAAACAAGACTGGCCGGTTGAGGACATCTCAACTGGAGTTGAATTACACAAGTAAATATTTCTTATCTTTGTTTGCTTTCATTGTCAATGTTCAATTTTGTACCATTTAACCCTTGTCGATGCTCACTATTGTTTCATCACCTTCTACTTGTCTAGGTATGACAGGGTGAGAACAAAGAAGGTGAAAGACTGGGGGCTAGAGCATAATAGATACATTGATGAATGGAGGACAGCCGGAAGGAACGACAGGTACATAGAGACTATACACCAAAATCATCTTTTCTCAGAGTACCTTCGTTGGCTGCATAGGACATATAGACTGTTCCTCCACCCTACTTGGACGGAAGCCGACATAGATGATGACCGCGACTCCGATGAGGGACGGAATCCCTATGATGTCCGGACTAGAGTTGGATATCAAATGGAGCACGCCCCACTTAGAGACAGAGTCGTAAGTTTTCTTGCATTTGTCAAAGTTATTTCCATTTGCACCCTAGACCCTAACATATATCTTCTCACGCTTTCAGTCGAGAGAGCTCCTCAGGAGTGTGAATGAAATGGGGCATGCCCTCCAAGCTCCGAGGGGTGGTGAGGACACGGAGAACACACTCCGCAATGTTTTAGAGGTAAAATTTATTTAGCACTTTGCATTACTTGAGTTATGCCTAACAAACTTCTTTTTTTTTTGAAATGCAGAAAGTTCGTCAAAGGTGCCGGAAACTTGCAGCAAGATTAGGTTGCAAGTCGGTTGGATTGGACGACGTGTACCAACCGCGGAGACTACCACCACTACTACCTCACTCCGCACGTCCAAGTACCGCTCGACACTGATAGAAGAGCGTGAAGAAATTGGTGGCTCGTTGTCGTCACGCATTCCGCAAGGGAGGGGAAAGGGGAAGGCGCCGGCTCCACCTAGCGACGACGATGACGACGACGACGAGGAGGATGAGGACTACGTCGCACCAGACGCTGAGGAGATAGACATGTCGCAGCTTCCCGACGCGCCTCAGGGGACGCAACCCACGCAATACAACTTGCGATCCACTCGGGCAGCGAAAAAGAGGTAAAATGAGCTTACCATTCTCAAATGTTATTTGATTTCCCTCATTTTGTTTTTAAAATGTTTTAAACATTGGATTTTCAAATGTAGGTACACTCCGGGCTCGCAAGCTATTCGACGCCAACGGAAGAAGTGATTTGTATGAAGTTAATCTATTTGTTGGTAGTATGACATATGTGGTGCACTATGTGATATAAAATGTGATGGACTATGTGAGGACTATGTGATGGACTTTTGACATTGTTTCATGTGTGGAATATAGGATGGACTTTTGGCATTGTTTGATGTGTGGAATATGTGATGGACTTTTGGCATTGTTTGATGTGTGGAATATGTGATGGACTATGTGAGGACTATGTGATGGACTTTTGGCATTGTGATTTGTGCAATTGGAACTTGTTTTAGTCTGTACGAATTTGTGAATTGTGATTTGAATTGCGAACTGTGAATTGGTACATTTGTGCAATATGGATCTTCAATTTGCAGGGAGGCAGAGGGCGGCGCCAACCACCCTGGCGCCGCGGTTGGGGAGGGCGGCGCCAGCCAGTGCCGCGAGGCAGAAGGGTTTCGGGCTGGGGGAGGGCGGCGCCAGCCGAGGCCCGGAGGCAGAAGGGCTTCGATGGGGGGAGGAGGGGGGCACCAGCCACCCTGGCGCTGCGGTCTGGGGGGGCGCCAGCCGTTGCCCGGAGGCAGAAGCGAAAATTTTGAGGGGGGGGGGGAGAAAGTTGGTGGGGCCCGCAGAGGAGGGGCGCGCCAGCCATGCTGGCGCCGTGGTATGAGGGGCGGCGCCACTCTGGCTGGCGCCCCCTTCGGCCTAGTCAGCACCTCTACGACAGCCCTACTGCCACGGTGGCACAGGCACGACGCCAGTGTGGCTGGCGCCGCCATGTTGGGGTACGGCGCCAGCCACTCTGGCGTCCCAAAAAGGACCATTTCCGGTTTAAGTTTTTTCAGGGGTCTATTTGTAAAATAAGTTTTCAAAAAGGACCAAAATGTAAAAATTTCAGGCGTAGCGCGGCAGGCGTGGTGGGGATGGGCCGGTTTGGCAGGCCCGGTACGATGCTCTGGCACTTTCTCGCTGGCCCAGCGAAGGAGCTCCTCGCGGGCCGAGAACGGATAGCAATTGGACCTGCTAGTTTCGGCGAACTACGGCCTGTCACCGACTCACCGTGCGGTGCGGACGCGACTCGATGAGCTACTAAATGCAACTGGATATGTCCCCCAGTTCCAAATTAAGTTTACGCACGTAAAACAATCTGTTCAGATTGTAGCTAAAATAAACCCAATTTAGCAATATTGTCAAGTTTTGGCAGGATTTCTTATTAGTTTGGTAAGAAACTAAATGGATGCATATATTTAGCAACTTTTTTAAAAAATGGTATGGTTTGAAATAACGTCAATCTTACAAAATAGCATAATTCGTATAGACGAAAAAGTACCATTATAGCCTACTAAATCGATGGCTCATATAGTTTTTACAAGTAGTATAATATTATCTATGTAGAGAGTACAGTAGTACTAATAGCACTCTTTGCGGTTACCCTTCGTTAGATCTTCAATGAATCGACAACTCTACCACCACGAGAGAAATGTTCATAGTGTCCAATCAACAAGTCCTTGCCCTTGATTCCCCTGTACCGTGCTGATTGTTGCTTCAGCCCCAGCAGCTCAGCCACCGGCTCTATCTCCTTCTCGCCATCCACAGCGTAGAACATGGCCACCGACATTCTCTCCCTCTCTGCATTTGTCACCACCCTATGCAATGGAGCCCTGAAGGTCCCATTGGTCATTATCTGCAACAAAAACAATGGGCAAACACAAATTAACCATGAACATATTTGACCACATCACACATCTTTTTTTCATCAAAAATGCAAAGTGAGAATTTTGCTTAGGTGTTCATGTATGTAATATGGGTAATTTTATCATCCTTAAAAAAATTCCGGGATGTATTATACCTTCTAGTATAAAATTTGGTATCTCTAGGTAAAAAAAAAATCTCGAGGTACTTTTCCGAGGATCATAAAATTTCTCATGTAATATAGTTACCTCCAGTGTAACACCAATGTTAATCAGAAGAGAGTAATCTCGCACAGCTGGAACACTGTACCATGTTCCATCTCTAAGAACTTGCAGGCCACCGACTTCTTTGTCAGTGAGAAGAACGGTGAGAGCACAGAGGTCAGAGTGAGGCTTCAGGCCTAACACAAGATCAGGTCTTGGACAAGGAGAGTAGTAGTTGAATCTGGCAGTAGTGATGGCCCTGTCGCTGAACTGGTTGAGGAGGCAATCCTCATCAAGCTCCAAGAGCTTGGCCAATGCGAGGAGGATATCGTTTTTGACCGTCTTGATCTTCAGTGTGTACTCATGTAGAATATCCCTGCAAATATAGCTCTCAAGTAATTCAGTGAAACCGACTTTTTTAACTTCTTTTTGGAGTGAAAAGAGTGTGAAATTTCTGAAACCTGAAATTCTGCTTGAGCAGGCACAGAAGTAGATGAATTATGTTTTGCAAATTGACAACAGAGCGAAATATTTTTCAGTGAGCACATATATGCATAATTGTGAATTTGTAAGATGATTGGGGTGTTTTACAGTGCTCTACTGGTAGTGAAACCAATCTAGAATATTCATTTTTTTCCAATTCAATAAATCATATTTATTTATATATACTACCACATCAATTAGTGGTAGTAGAATTACTTTTTTCTACTGGTAGTAGAACTCATAAATGAACGGTTTATATCTTGCTAGTATAATACGATTAGTAAAGAACACCGTAAAAATACTCGAGATGATTTACCTAAAAGATTTGGGATGTGTGGGCCAAAAGGCTAGATTTCTGTCACACTCTGGCTCAACCTTGAGATGCAGCCGATCAGACCAATCCAGGATCTGATCTTTGGTTTGCACAGGATCATTTCCATACCCTTCTATCTGAAAACGCTTGCCATCAATCAGGTTGCTCAGTTTCTTCTTCTCTTCAACTGGCTGCCGAAAAAATTCCCTCGCAGCCTCGATCACAGCATCGATCAGTGAGGTCTCAACGCCATGGTTAGAAACCTAATCACACAGACTGTTAATTACTTTTTTTCGCCGGGTCGGCAAACAGCCGACAGAGTATATTAAGATGGAAGAGACTGTTAATTACTCGTCACAAAAAGAATAAGAGCTTATTCCGTTTATAGGATTTTGAATAAGATGTCACATGCACTCCATTCCTTAGGAATTTTTTCTCGAGATCTCACCTCATGCTAAAAATTCCATGGAATTAACTTGTAAGACTACAATCCTTAGGAATATGGTAGAATCCATTCCTATAAAACGAAAGATGAATATAGGGAAAAAAATTTCTAAGGATTCGATTCCTACAATAATCTTATGAAAATATTCTAAACCGAATGAGCCCTAAGGTGCAAGTGCAAGTTTTTTTTAACCCATCACTAGTTCAAAATCATCATATACTCCGACAAAAAAATAGGTTTAGGCTGTGTTTAGTTCAGCGTAAAGTTTGAATTTTGGTTAAAATTAGAGATGATATGACTGAAAAGTTATGTATGTATGACAGGTTGATGTGATGAAAAAGGACTGAAGTTTGGATCCAAACTTTGGATCTAAACACAGCCTTAGAATGAAAGATGAGAAGCTCACCAGGAAGAGGCCCCAGTTCTGCAGAGCCGACCGCAGCTTGGCAGCCTCGTCGGCACCGTCCGATCCTGACAGCCGGCCGAGATCGATGGTCGGGATGGGCTCCGGTATCTCGGCGCCGGCGAGCTGGTCACCGCCGGCGAGGTCTTGCAGGTACCGGCTCGGTGGCTCCTGCACGCCGGCGGCCAGTTCTTGCACTATGTTTGGCAGCCTCCATGGCTCGTCAGCCATTGGAACTTGTTCGATCGGTTTTGCTTGCTCACTTGATGGAGCGAGGTGATTTCTTGAATTTTGGCTTTGCACGCTTGCACTAGGCAAGATGGATAGATTGAAACAGCTAGATTTTGAAGTGTATATATATGTATAGATGGGATTGTTTCGTCATTGTGTACATGATCATCTATGAATAGACCAGCTACCAACCACCTGCACTAACAGAAAATATAGTAAAAGACAAATGCACATGATGAGAAAATATATTCTTTGACGAATCCTTTAAAGGTCAACATATTTTGGATGCAATGGCTTTTTTTTTTGGTTTTTATTCATATCGTAACACTCTGAATTTTCGTTTCAACCAATAAAATGACATCAAAATATAGTTATAAAACATTATAGAAAATATCTAGTACCACGGAAGACATTCGCTAGTCATTACTCCGTAAAATTTCACATCAGAATTTGATACACGAATTAAGGGAAAAAAGGGATAAATTCAACTGAAAAAATTTCTCAGAAAGACATGCAAAAGAAAAGGCAAACCGTTTGCAAAATTTTTTGGAGCTACGCTTGACTCCTAGTGGTGTGTGTGGAGTCCACCTCAAGATCCCGTTTTTGACTCCTAGTCACGCACACACTTATTAATTACTCCTTCTGTTTTTTTAATAAGTGACACCATTAACTTATACATGTTTAACCATTCGTCTTATTTAAAAAATTTATGTAAATGTATAAGATATAAATCATGCTTAAAGTATTTTGAGTGGTAAAACAACTAAAAAAATAAATTATAATTACGTATTTTTTTTAAATAAGACGAATTGTCAAACATGTATCCAAAAGTCAACAACATTGCCTCTTAAAAAACGGAGGGAGTAGTTAATGTTTTAAGATTAAAAAAATCAACTAATGTTTTGGCCCATTCAAGCTGATTCTTTTCGGCCTAATAGGTTTTGGGCCTAGAATTTTACACATTTTTTAAGCGAAAACTAGGCTTCCGCTTCCCTCCGAAAGAAAGAGTAGCCCATTTGGTAAAGCTATAACACCTAAATTTAACTCTAAACTCATTTATACCTCTCAAGTTCATTTTGTGAGAGCGCTCTAGCCAGCTCCATATCTTTTTTGGTGGTGTTGAAACCGTTTGGTTGGGCTCCAACTCTAAGAGAGGTGGAGCTGGAATTGGAGCTGTGCCAAACAGATCCTTAAAAAACTATATTCCAAATCAAAACATGTTTAAACATACCAAGTTCCATTACCCCTTCTTTCTATAAAGTTAAAACCCAAAGCTGCCTCCTCAATTCGCCACATCATCAACATTATATTAGCTGTTCGATCAATATGTAAATCAGATTTACACCATTGGATCCCTCATCTTTTTGCCCAGCATGCATGGTAATCACCTTGCTCCTTCCCCTTCCCCTCCCTTAATCACATGCATTAATTTACAGCAGAAACCGCCAAATCAATTGGGACATGAGGTGCGATGGTTAATACGATTCATGTGCCTCTTGCGATTCTCTTCCAAACCTTTTAATAAGCCCCTTTACAATCCCCACTATAACCAAGTCTCTTCCCCTTTGCATGAATCTTTTCATCATACGTTCGATTTTATTTGGTAAGCCTGAATTTAACAGTTATTTTGACCGGATTCTATTTGAGTATACATTATGATTAATTTGAACCAAGCAGGAGCACTATGAAAGTTTTGTCAATTGGTTTCTCTAAACTTGAAGAAAGAATCACTATCCTATACATTTACTGTTGTCTTAGTTTCTTAAGAAAAGATTCATCATGCTTGCAGCCAATACTTATATGTCATATCACTTTAATTTATTTGAACAATTAGGAATGATACAAAGGATTGCTATATAGCTGTCCTGACATAGCGAGAAGCAGCTTAACTTGCTCGGTATGTATTTTGTTTTTAGGTTCAAACAATACAATCTAATTGTTCATACTAATATGCATATTTACATATGTTCTCAAATGTGCCCGCAACGAAGCTCGGGGTTTCATCTAGTTATTAGAAAGCTATATTCCACCGATCCAACACCGTTACGACAACAATCTCATTCTGACATCTTGACAGTGTCGATGACTCGTGTCCCTCTTGCAAAAGTCTCGTAGAAGCCACTTAAGTAGTCCTTGATCTTCATCTTGGCATACTGCCTCGGCCTCTTCTCATCGTCCACCAGCTCCGGCGCCGGCTCCAGCTCCTTCTCCGGATCCAGCGCGTAGAACATCACCACCGACACTCGCTCCCTCTCGGCGTTCGTCACCACCCTATGCACCGGGCTCTTTAACAACCCATTGCTCATTATCTGCATCCCAGAATAGGTGTCTGTTAGTCATATCTTTTTAGATAATGGAAATGATTTACATCTCCGACCTCTGCTACTTAGTCGGACTAATTCCCTAAAAGATCAAATATAATCAGACGTGTAAATGATGATGTACTCAAAATTGAAGCTTTACAGGTCTACTTTACGTGCAATTCAGATTGTTGTTCAGATCTCCCAAATCTCTGATCCCTCCAAAGATTTCTTCAGGAGAAGATAAAAGGAATCATGATATACTTTAGGAATCATGGTAGAATACTTTTGGAACACCGTAATATTTTGGTTTGGGTTACATGGGTGCAGTATCCTTGGATAAACAACCACTAACAAGTACTCCCTCCGTTTCACAATGTAAGACTTTCTAGCATTGCCCACATACATATAGATGTTAATGAATCTAAATACATACATATGTCTAGATATATGTGCGCAATGCTAGAAAGTTTTACATTGTGAAACGGATGGAGTAAATGTATATATACCTCCATTCCATCCCCCATGTTGATGAGCAGAGCATTGGGGACGACGGGCACATCGTACCAGACGCCTTGCCTCAGCACCTGAAGCCCACTGACGGTGTCGTCGACGGAGACGACGGTGATCACCGAGCCGTCGGAGTGTGGCTTCAGGCCCAACACATCCTCCGGCCTCAGGCAGCGAGGGTAGTAGTTGAACCTCGCGTACGTCGTGGCGTCCTCGTCGAACATGTCGACGAAGTAGCCCTCTCGCAGGCCGAGCAGCCTGGCCAATCTGGCGAGCACAAGGCTGGTGATCTCCCTGCACCTCATAGTGTACTCATGCAGAACATCTCTGTATAAAAGAAACAGGAAATTTCAGACAAATGTACTGGCAGAACTTGACAGATTTTAAGTTCTTAATCATGCGTGTAGATTGCAGAGTGAACAATGGATTAATCAAGGTTAGGAAGATTCAGTGCCTGAAAGAAGGAGGCTGTGTTGGCCAGAGGCTATGGGCTATCCGGGACTCAGGCTCAACGATGTGGTAGAACCGGTCGCACCAGTTCAGGATCTGTTTCTCTGACACGACCATGTCGTTGCCGTACCCTTCGATCCTGAAATCCTTGCCGTTCACCAGGTTGGAGTACTTCTGCTTCTCTTCCAGTGGGAGCTTGTAGAATCCTCTTGTCACATTGATCATCTCACTGAGAATGCTCCCCTCCATTATAGTACCAAATAACCCTGCACCTTATAGTACCATAGGTACCCAAAAAAAAAAAGTAATACTCAATCCGTTTCAGATTATAAGTCATTTTGACTTTGGTTAAAGAAAAACGTACTCCAAATTAAACTAAATTTGTAGAAAAAAATAGTAATATATTCAACACAAGATAACTATATTATAAAAATATATTCAATTATAGATTTAATGAAAATAATTTGATGTTATAATATTACCAAAATTGTCTATAAATTTAATCAAATTTGGAACAGTTTGACTTTAACTAAAGTCAAAATAACTTATAATATGAAACGAATGCAGTGGTACTTTTATTTACCAGGAAGAGGCCCCAGTCCTCTAAGGCGGAGCGTAGCTTGGCAAGCTCGCCGGCGCTGTCTTCACCATTGGAGGCAGACAGCCGGCTGAGGTCGACGACGGGGATGGGCTCAGGCATGTCGGAGCCGGCGATGGCAGGGCGGTCTTTCTCGCCGACCATGTACTGGCTCGGCGGCTCATGGACGCCGGCGGCGAGCTCCTGCACAATCGGCGGTATCTTGACAATGTTCCAGTGGTGGCCGTCAGCCATGGTTGTCTGAACGCGCAGTGCTTCTGTTCAGTCAGGTGATTCCTAGCCAGCCGGTTTTTATCTTATTTCGGCATTGTTTTGTGGCCATGGATGATGACAGAGTGAAATTGGTCAGGGTTTAGTCAAGATGAAAGATTTTATGTAAACAAGTTGGTAGGTCAGGGATGTGGGAAGACATGGTAGTGCCACTCATTAGTCAGAGAGGATCAAACACACGGTCCTTGTCATGATAGACACAGGAACGGACCCATCGAATAAGCGAAACGGTATATTTGCAAACGAATAGTAATTTGTGAATAAAACTTTTATATATGTATTTTTAACAATCTAAAATAAAAGCAAAGGTTGAAAAATAAACTTCAATAAAAAACCTCAAAATCAACTCCAATTTAAGATTGAAAAATTTAAAATTTGGCTAATAAGCATAAGCATAAGCATAAGAAAAAGACACTCCGGCAGTAATATGGTATGGGTCGTTGAGCTTTACATCACTGTCAAATGTTTGTCTGCCGAGCCCATTGGCCTTGTTCGGCAGCCAGTTTTGCTGCAGCTGCTGTGGCTGCAGCAGTTGAAAATCGCTGTAGCGTGCTGCGTGCAGCCGTAGCTGCTGCCAAAAAATCTCTTTCGAACACACCCATTATAAAAATCTCTTTCGAACACACCCATTATCAGCGGGGAGATTTTGCAGAGACATGCAACAATTACTCCCCCCTCCCAATTTTATTTTACTTACTACCTCCGTCCTAAATTAGTAGTCGCTTTAACTTTTTTTTTTGCAACGTTTGACTATTCGTCTTATTTGAAAAATTAGTGCAAATGTAAAACATGATAAGTCATTAAAGTACTTTTGATAATAAAGCAAGTCACAAACAAAATAAATAATAATTCCATAATTTTTTTGAATAAGACGAATGATCAAACATTACAACAAAAACTCAAAGCTAAACTAGGAATCACGGCAAAATACATTGCTACCCTCATTATTTACATTCTAATTATCTTTCTTAAAGCAAGCATTAAAATTTTCTTGTGAGAGTACTGGTACTAATATGGCTATATCGATAAAAGTAGGAAAAAAAACATATCCAATGTAGTTAATAGTGTAATTACATTACAATTATACAATAATTACAATATAATAACACTATAATATTAATAATGTCTAATTACAATACCATTAATAATATTATAGTTACATTTGAAAGTTTTTTGTTAAAAAAAACTTGCGACATGCTTTTAGCAATTCCCTCAAGGAAAAAAACATATTTATTTTCCCAGGAATACTTGCTACTGAAAGCTGCTGAGCTTGCAACAATCATGCTACTAGTACAAATCAGATCTTCAGGGAGTCGATGTATCTCTCTCGTCGAGAGAATTTTCCAATGATCCCAGCCCTGAACTCTCCGACGCTCACTTTCCTGTATCTTGCAGGCCGATTCTCATCCAGCAAACCAGCCGCCGGCCCAATATCTTTCTCATCATTCACACTGTAAAACATGGCCAGTGAGATCCTCTCCCTCTCGGCGTTTGTCACCACCCTGTGCACTGGGCTCCTGAAGATGCCATTGCACAATACCTGCACATAAATTTTGCATCCAAATATGCATCAGGATTCAGAAACCTGGGTTTATCATCATATTACAGATGTCTCTGCAGATTCAGAGAGAAAGTGTTTTGGATGCTAGATGCCAATTACCTCCATGGTGTCACCTAAGTTGATCAGCAATGTGTTGGGAGTGACCTGAACATTGTACCACTTGCCATCCCTCTGAATTTGCAGGCCACCGACATCTTCGTCGACGAGAAGAATCGTAAAGAGGGAGCCGTCGGAGTGAGGCCTGACGCCGAACACAAGGTCAGGCCTTGGACAGGGAGGGTAGTAGTTGAATCTTGCAAGTGCAGGAGCTTTGTTGAGTCGGTCGAAGAAGTAATCCTCATCAAGCCCAAGAAGCTTGGACATAGCCTGAACGATATCGTCTCTTATTCTTTTGGTTCTTGATGCGTACTCGTTCAGAACATCCCTGCAGAAGAAAAGGCTCTCTAATAGCTCAGTAAAACCATTTCTCGATACATCGTCAAGTTATTCTTTCTGAATTCAGACAACAATTCTTGTTACTTTGTTAGTAATACATGAACAATAAAAACACCATCTTTTGCACCAAAAAAAAAGAGTAGGAAGAAATTCAGACGTGTGTAAACTGGAAAGTAAAACATCGATCACTGTAAGGTGAGTAGGTGACCTGAAAGATTCAGGATGGTCAGGCCAGAAGGCAAGATTTCGCTCCTCCTTGGGTTCAACTCTGAGAAACAGCCGATCAGACCAGTCCAGGATCTGATCTTGGGTTACCACCCGGTCAGTTCCATACCCTTCCACCTGGAAGTTCTTGCCGTCGATCAAGTTGCTGAATTTTCGCTTCCGTTCGATCGGTTGGTTGAAGAACTCTCTTGCCAAGTTCAACACATCATCCATCAGAGAGGTTTCTACTCCATGGTTGGTAAGCTGGATCACACACAGCCAGGAAAATTGGAGAAATTGATACAAAGTAGCAAGTTTTTTATTAAGCAAAGTAGGATCACTGCGTTAGTAGCTGACCAGGAAGAAGCCCCAATTCTGCAGAGCCGCCCTGAGCTTGGCAGCCTCGTCGGCGCCGGCTAGCCGGCTGAGATCAACGACGGGGATGGGCTCCGGCAGCTCGGCGGCGACCAGCTCGTCAGAACGGTCTTTCTCCCCAAGCACGTACCGACTCGGTGGCTCCTCGACGCCGGCCGCCGCCAGCTCTTGCACTATCGCCGGCGTCCTCCATGACTCGTCAGCCATTAGTGTTCTTGTTCTTGGATCTTTCTTTGCTTAATTTTCTTCTTGCCTGAAAAGAAAAAGGAGATCTTTCAACTCATTTATAGCCTGCAAATATGTTGAATTGGATATACTTGGATGAAAATGGATTGACAAATTAGGCACGTGAATGGAATCTGCTTCTCAGCTACTATTCAACAGTAGAAGAAAGGATGCACAATGTACATGGTGGAAATAAAAGACACGTTGTAGATAAGATGTAGATGTAGATTGAGCTGAATAAAGGGATAGGTATTCAAACTGTTTGACATCGTGGAATCGAGCACAAGAAAGGGAACCTTCAAATTCATTTTTTGAAATTAAACCGAAGGTATTCAAACTGTTTAACATTGTGGAATTGGGCAGAAGAAAGGGACTGGTATTTCAAGTAGTTTGACATTGTGGAAGTGAGCTAGTCCTGACTCCTGAGTTCTGAATGCCTGAATGGGGGAAAACAAGTTCCATTGCTTACCTTTTCTTATCTCCTTCTAGATATTTCAACTGGTGTAATATGGTGACACAAGATCTGCACCAGATCAACTATCTCTCGGTTTCTATCAATGGTTAGTAACAGGAGTAGTAACCTGGAGAGAGCTGCTATTCTGCTCGAAATCAACACAAAGTCAATTAGTCACTCATATCAATAGACAGAACACAATTCCTATCGAACAAAAGAAGATCAAACATAATAAAAGAAGATAAAGATGTATTATTTTCTAAAAGAAAAAAAAAAGATCAAGATGTGTAGATCAAGGGAAAAATTGAAAAACTCTGAAGCTGTCAAATGATTATGCTTGCCTTTTAGATGGTCCAACTGAAGTACTAGAATTCACAAGGCTCAGCTAAATGATTCTTGCCTTCACTTTCTTGCTGCCTTGCAAAGTGGTGGATGCTTCTCAAATATCAAGTACTAGCAGTCTTGTGTCTGGCTCAGTTTCTTTCCAAGGATCTAGAAACAAGCAAAGAAAAAAAGTTAGTTGATTAGTCACAACCCATAACACTGACCAACTGTACTTCAATGAGTTATCTTCCACAAGGTTAGAATTTTAACCTAGCATGCAGAGCTCATCAAACTGTTTGGAGTAGTACAAGTACAAAACTCATCATTCATCCTCAGCAAACACAAAATGAAACCTCACAATAATATTTTTCTTTTCTGATAAACGCTACAGATCTGGATGGCATAATTACATGAGTATGCGACCATGTGACTCATACTCTACAATAGTTCTTTTTTTCTGATAAACTTTACAGAGTACATATCACAATCACTATTTATTTTAACTGGCATAGTGACTCAGATCTTCACTGTGTCAATCACTCTTGTCCCTTGCAAGAAATGTTCAAAGAGCCCTGCAAGGTAGTCCATAATCTTCACCCTCTTGTATCTTGCCGGGTGCCTTTCATCGATCAGCTCAAGTGCTGGCTCAATCTCTTTCTCAAGATTCATAAAATAAAACAACACCACTGATATTCTCTCCTTTTCAGGATTTGTCATAACCCTATGCACCGAGCTCTTAAAAATCCCATTGCTCATTATCTGTACAAAAAAGAATGTGTAGTTCAGTGAATCAAGAACTTGGAGATGCATCATGGCACAACTTGAACATACTGGTAGAGACAAGCTCACAGTAAGTTTTTTTTTTTGCCGGGAAGGCCGAAGGAGGCCAACCGAGTATATTAAGAAGGAATAAAAGTTACAAGAGAAAAAACATCAAAATGCACCAAGGTGCATTGCCACACACCACACACTACCACCCAAGCACAAACCGCTGAGGGTGAAACCTAGCACCAAACGACCCCCGCTAAATGTGGCCGAACGCCGCTAGGCCTACGGCAACACCACAGAGACGAGGCTCCGAAAACGATGCCACCATGGTGGTCACGACATCCAGGATGCCGCCATCGCCCATCTAAAAAGATGTGGTTTTCACCCAGAGAAGCTCGCCAAGAAAGGGAGAGGGTAACCCTCGACAACGCTCCAAGGAAATTACGACGCCCGAAGACGTAGCCGCTGTCGGCCCGGTGAACCACCGGACTAGGCTTTCGCTTGGGACCCTACAACCTTGACTGCAGATCGCCGTCCACCAACTCAGAACCACCACACAGACAAATGGCAGCACGTGGCATCCACCACACCGCACCGACGCCCCTCCATCGGCCGACTTCAACGAACCACCACCCCTGAGAGCTGGCCCAGGACTCCTCCGTTCCACCACCCGCCGGCCGCCTCGCCAGATTTGGCCGAAGGAGAACCCGGGACTAGGTGGCATTGCTTCGGCAGCCTGAGCTTCCCCCACTGACAAGCTACCGCCTCAATCCAAACTATAAACTCCCCGCAAAGAAAGGGAGGAGCTCCATGAAGGCCGAGGGTGCCGACCGGCAACGAGGAAGACGACCCACCGCCGCCAGCTCCCTTTGCACTGCCATCTGGCCGCCGGTGGTGCTGCTGCTCCGGACCGGCACCACCCGCCGGCGCCCCCGAAGTCCGGCCGCCGCGCCTCACCTGGCCACCGCGGCGGCATCCCGGCTGCCCGGCCACCAAGCTGAGCCGCCACCGAGGCCTGGACGACCCACCGCGCCATGGGCTGGCGCCGAGCGGCCAGGCCGAGCGAGTGAGCGGGGGCGCCGCTGCCGCTCCGGGCAGGCTGCGCTGCCCGCCGCCTCCGCGACCGGGCCGGCCACGACGAGCCGCAGCCATCCGCCGCGCGCGCCCGCCGCTGACGAGCCGCCTCCGCGCGCCTCCACGCCGAGCCTCAGCCGTCCACCGCCTCCGCGCCCGTGCTGGGCCGGCCTAGCCGTAGCCGGCCGCCACCTCGCCGCCTTGCCGCTGGCCGCCATCACGACCGCATGCCGTCGCGCCGCCCCAGGCCTCCTCGCGCCGCCGCCGCGCAGATCCAGGCAAGGGAGGGCCGGATCCGGCCATGGGGGCTCCGAATCCGCTGTCTCCTCCCCACCTCGCCGCCGTAGCTGCCACGGACCACGCCGGTGGAGAGCTTCGTCGTCTTCGTCCTTCGCGCCGAGGAGGGAGACGCTACGAAGAGAAGAAGGCCTCGCTACCGCCTTCCCTGCCCGCTGCCGGCTTCGCCGCCGGCGGGCTCCAGCGACAGCGAGGTGGGGGGAGGGAGGGAGAGAAGGCGCGGGCGGCTAGGGTTTTTCGCCCCCGAGCCACCCGACGCGAAAGCGACGCGGGGGGCTTTTTTGCTTTTTAACTCCCCTCTTCCGCTCACAGTAAGTTCACCCACACACAAAAAAGGGGGAAGCTCACAGTGAGACAGTGAGTTTTAGCAAGAGCTAAGATAGCATGATGCAATGGTGACAAGAAAAACAGCATTCGTGGACAGATATATTTACCTCCATGTGATCTCCTAAGTTGATCAGCAAGGTGTGAGGTTTAGTTGGGACATCATACCAGACACCATCTTTAAGAACTTGTAGCCCACCAACGTCGTTATCAACCATAAGAATTGTAAGAATGGTTGCATCAGAATGAGGCTTCATGCCATAGACAAGATCAGGCCTTGGACACTGAGGGTAGTAGTTGAATCGAGCAATAGTGGTAGGCCTGTCAGAGAATTGTCTGACAAAGTAATCCTCGTTGAGTTTCAAGAGCTTTGCCATTGATGGAAGGAGACTGTTTTTAACTCCATCACATTTTATGAGAAACTCATCCAGAACATCCCTACATAAGAGTCAATTCGCATAATGGATTGGTACTGGCGAAAGTGTTTTATTGACATAATTTGAACTATAAATTTTGGGACAGAGGGAGTACTAAATTTTTGTGACACGTTGCAACCATAAACTAGGCCTTATAAGTTGTTTACCATCGCCGTAAACAAATCGTAAAACATCTCTGACACTGTGTTTGTGATATTACCTGAAAGATTCAGGATGCTTGGGCCAAACGGAAAGATTTCTCTCGTCTGCTGGATCTACTTTCAGATACAATCGATCCAACCAATCCAGGATTTGGGTATCAGATTTCACCTGGTCATTTCCATACCCTTCTAGCTGGAAATGCTTGCCGTCAATCAAGTTGGTGTATTTTTGCTTCTCTCCAAGATGCTGTTGAAAAAACTCTCTTGACACATTCATCACGTTATCCATCAGAGCATCTTCTATGCCATGGTTAGTTACCTGAGAACACAATTGCAGATATAGAATATAAGCCACGACATCATGTTATTTAAAGAAGCCAAGGCAGTTCAACAAAAATCTATCAAAGGTACACTGACTACTTATTACCATGAAAAGGCCCCAAGACTCCATCGCCTGCCGGAGTTTCACCGCCTCATTGGCATCACCATCTGGTTGGGACAGGCGACCAAGGTCAACAATGGGGAATGATGCAGTGGCTGCAATGGTCGGTTGGTCTTCTTGTTGCACAATGTACTGTCTTGGCACAGATTTGCTTCTCATGCCGGCAAGCTCCTGCACAAGTAGTGTTGATCTCACATCCTCCATGCTCCCTTCCATACGGATGTAGCTCAGGTACTGTCTCAGGACTTAGGTTGTTCAATGCTGTTGAGTTGATACGGAGAAGTTACTATATATGAGTCTGAGACCATGTACGAAAAAAGAGTAAAAATACTGCCATTGTTGCACAAGTGGTCATGTAATGAAAACAATTTATACCTGGTATAAAAAAATGCTGTAAGTTGCAACCAAATTGCTGAATTAACCAAAAAAAAAAGGCAATTTGACATTTATGGAGCAGAGTTAGGAACTGCCCAATAGTGGCTGACAATTAAGATTTAAATTCAAGCTCAACATCTGATTCCCTAACTTCAATATAAGCACCTAGAGCGCAGCTGTGTACTAGCCTGGAGTTGGCAGGCTGTTTGTTCTATCCTTAGGTAGTTGGGCTAATTTCTGGTGGCACAGCAACCTTGTTTGTTTATTTATTACTTGTAACCTCTCCTTGGTCTTAATTTGGGCGGCATACTTTTGCCGGACAATGAAAAATATAAGCACCTAGAAGAATAAAGATTCAATATACCATGTGAATCAGAAAACCACTCCATGTGTTACACAACATACAACATGCCAACTTCAACTTGAGAGGTTGAGCAACCGATGATGCACAGCACAGGCCCTTAAATTTAAGCTTGTGATAACGTCCTTTCCAGAATAACTTAACATCTTGAAGGAGCATATTAACTGAACCTGGCAATATCGCTTCTTTTTTATTTGGAAGTGGCGTATTTCACATCAAATTCTATGACATCTTGTTTCTTTTTAATTTGAAAGTGGTGTACTTCATGACAATATTGTTTCTTTTTTATTTGAAAGTGGTATAGTTCATGGCAATCTTGTTCATCTTCTACTACTTTGAAAGTGGCATGCTTCATATCAAATTCTATGCAAGGAACCCTAATACCGTGTGCTGTTTTTTTTTTAAAAAAAAACGAACGATTCTTGTTCCTACGGGATTTTTCTTCCTGTTTTTTGGATTGCACAAAATCAATCCTGAAAACATTGCACATTCGCACAGTACTAATCCCAAATAAATTTCCCCCAAACTTTTCAAAGAACAAAAAATTTAACCGAAGCTGCTTTGGCACAAACCTATCCGCCCCGATTCCCTATCTGCGTAAGAAGATGGGATCGAGGCAACCCGCAGGAAGTAGCCTCGTCGCGCCTCCTCCTCCGGTCACCGCCGCCATTGCCGCGAAATGGAATCGGTTGCTCGCCGCCGCCGCCGCCGCCGCCTCCATAGTCCCACACGGCCACCACCTGCCGCCGCCGCCGAAGCCCCCCGACCCGACCTCCATCTCCGACGAAGCTCCTCATTGCCATCGCGCGGCCCAACTGCCGCCGCGGCGAGCCCGCGAGAGCCCAATAAGTGGTGGGCTTAGATGGGCCGGGCCGGACCATCAGTGGCGGCCTTGGAACGTGTGGCCCATGATCAAAACTAGGCCTTTTTCACTTTTCAGTTCGATCTCTCCCGTTCTTCACCGGCTCCGGTGAGCTTTGATCCAACCAAACCTGAAATTTTCCATCTCGAGTAAGATTTTCATCACCATTTGATATTTTGAATTTTGATTGATTGATTTCTCTGCTCTGCAAAGGGACAAACAGGAGAAGTTGCAGCATCAATAATGAGGCGTTTGTACGCATCCAATCCACAACGATATATCTTAATATCTATATCCCGGCTATGATGCATATAAGGGAGATCGAGAGAGATCGATAGCGATGCATAGCTTGTGATCCATCACAACAAAGAGTGGCGGCGGCGGCGCACTGATGGACGGACACGGCGGCTCGCCGGACGAGGACGTACGCCGGCGACGCGTCAGTATTGGAGCCCCTGCTCATCTGCAAGCTAGGCTGGCTCGGCACGATTCTCTTATATTTTAAACTCCTTCCGTATTTTGTATTTTAATGTATGATGTTGTTGACTTTTTAACCAACATTTAAACATTCGTCTTATTTTAAAATTATGTGTAAATATAAAACTATTTATATAATACTTAAAAACATTTGATGATAACTCAAGTCATAATAAAAATAATAATAATAATATATATTTTAAATAAGACGAATAGTCAAACGTTGGTAAAAATAAATGACGTCATATATTAAAATACGGAGAAAATATTAATAATCATATATAAGAACAAAAGATATGGTTTTCACATCAAATGCGGAATTTAGCTTTAGCCCAAACGGCATGCATGATTGGAGCTCGAATTTTTTAAATTATTTTTGAGGACTCAAGTGCGCGTGCGATATTTGCTTTTGGCTCCTCAAACACCACTCAATTAATTATAAAAAAAATCCGAAAAGATATTACAGTACAACATTGATACAGTTGATCTACACACAACGAGAAAAAACAGGAGGACAAATTCAGTTACAAATAGTACTATAACCAAATTTATGACTTCAGGTTTTCAAATATTGCATATTATAACATATGTTTAGAAACATTTTGATGATATATATGCAAAGCAAAAATATATATATATACTCCCTCCATTTCAAAATATTTGACACCGCTGACTTTTTAGTACATGTTTGACCATTCGTCTTATTCAAAAAATTTAAGTAATTATTTATTTTTTTTCATATCATTTGATTCATTGTTAAATTTACTTTCACGTACATACATAGTTTTACATATTTCATAATTTTTTTAATAAGACGAATGGTCAAACATGTGCTAAAAAGTTAACGGTGTCAAACATTTTAAAACGGAGGGAGTACTACTTTGGTTGTAAATTGATTTCCCCTTCATGTGGAGAGTAAAAGATCGATCTATTTCTTCACACCAAAGTGAACTTTATTTTTCATCATCAACACAGTTCATGACACAGTCGATACAACACATTATTGATAATTCATCCGTTTCACAATGTAAGTCATTCTAACATTTTCCACATTTATATTGATGCTAATGAATCTAAATAAGTATATATGTTTAGATTTATTAGCATCAATATGAATATGAGAAATGCTAGATGACTTACATTGTAAAACGGAGGGAGTAGTAGATTATTAGACTCACGTAATACGTCTCAACCAACCTAGTAAACACCAACGTGAACATCTATCATTCTATCTATTATTCCACATATTTTTTTAGTTTAAGCATGCAGGCCACGCGATTAATTAGCTAGATTCCTCCATCACATCACGCGCTGGTCGAGACGGCCGCCGCCGCCGCCGCCTCCGGCTGCTGCTGCTGGTGCTCGACCTTGACCTTGAGGAAGTCGATGGTGCGCTCGCCGGCGGCGAATGCGTCCCAGAAGCCGTCGCCGAAGGCCTTGGCCTTGAGCTTCTAGTACATCGCCGGCCGCTCCTCGCCGACGAGCTCCTCCGACGGCGCCAGCTCCTTGTGCGGCTCCGGCTGGTAGAACATCACCACCGACATCCTCTCCCTCTCGCTCGTCACCACCCTGTGCACCGGCGCCATGAACACTTGCTCATGATCTGCAACACCAAGCAATGCAAACAACTTAAATTTTTATTCAAGCAGATCTATTTTTTTACTCAAATAGCTATAAAAAATTAAGAAAATAGTAATATCAAATGGGATGACATAAATTTATAGAAAGACTAAATTTAATCTAGAACTAGAAAAGAGAAACAATAAAATCAGCTAGTAAATGTAGATCGAATTTAAACTTCCATGTTTACGCATGGAGCCTCACTGTAGGGCTATCTACTGGTAGTAGAAATCAATTTAAAGTGTTAATTTCATTTGATTGAAGAGCTCAGATCTATTTATACTACCAGCCTAGTTAGCGGTGGTAGAAACGTGGAGGAGTATTAGAAAAAATAGATGCGAGGGCATAAACGTTATTTAGCAATGACTAAACCTTTTTTTTCTTCTCTTTTTTTTTCTTTTTCGATGAAATATAAGCGATGCCAACACAATCAATGAATGATCATATATCTATTTAGACAAGGAAAACATAAATAACAAAGTAACTTTTAATCATTATAATAGTAAATTACTAATTATCCTTTATAATACTGATGGTATAATACCACCAATAGAAAGCACCGAAGTATCACTCTTATGTATTATTATTATCATAATCTATCTTACCAACTTTTTATAACTATTACCTCAATCTCGTCGCCGGCGACGACGAGGAGCTCGTTGGTGAGCACCGGAATGTCGAGCCAGCGGCCGTCCTTGAGCAGCTGGAGGCCGCCGACGTGCTTGTCGAGGAGGAGGACGGTGAGGACGGAGTTGTCCGTGTGGGGCTTGAGGCCGTACACGAGCTCCGGCCGCGGGCATGGCGGGTAGTAGGTGAACCGCGCGTACGTCGTCACCTTCTCGCCGACCTTGTCGCCGAAGAACTCCTCCCCGAACCCCAGCGACCTCGCCGTGGCGGCGAGCACCCGCCGGAACACCTGCTCGCTCCGCCGCGTGTACTCCTCGAGGAGTCCCCGGAGCGCCGCCGGGTGCTCCGGCCAGAACTCCAGCCGCCGCTCCTCCTCCGGCTGCACCTGGAGGTAGAGCCGGTCGCACCAGTCGAGGATCTGCTCGTCGGTGTCCACGCGGTCGATGCCGTAGCCCTCGGGCTGGAACCTCTCGCCGCCGGCGCCGACGCCGTCGGCGTCGGCGGCGGCGACCACGTTGCTGTACCTCTCCTTCTCCTCCGGCGGGAGGTGGAAGAACTCCCGCGTCGCGGCGAGGATCTCGTCGAGGAACGGCTCCGGCATGCCGTGGCCGGTCACCGCGAAGAGCCCCCACGACTGGAGCGCCGACCGGAGCTTGGCCGCCTCGCCGCCGTCGTCGACGACGTCGTCACCGCTCTCGGCGGCCAGTCGGCTCACGTCTATGGTGGGGATGGCGGCGAGCTCCCGCTGCGCCGCCTGCACGGCGCCGGCCGCCGCCACCGGGCGGTCCTTCTCCCGCAGCACGTACCTGCTCGGCGGCGCCCCGAGCTCGCCGCCGGCGGCGAGGTCTTGCACCATCTGGCCCTGAGCTGGGTGCACCATGGTCTGTGACTGTGTGTGTGTTTGCTTCACTGTCAGTAGCCTCTACTCATTAAGTATTTAAATAGTCTGGATTTAACTCCGTTATACTACCTCCGTCACAAAATATAAACTACCTCCGTTACAAAATATAAACTTCTAGCTATGAATCTAGATAGTTATATATCCATATTCATTGCTAGAAATGCTTATATTCTGGAGGGAGTATAGATTTTTTTTATTTGACGCAATCGTTAACATGCGGTGTAGACATTGGACAACACCACACTGTATCTTTTATAAAATCGAGTGTGGAACCATATGATATTTTGTTAGGAAAAAAGCTTATCATCAGTTCATCACCCGTCAACTTGGTGATCATGCAGATTGTTTCAGCTATTTTCTAGTGTAGAATAATTGCTAGGTGATCCGTGCCATGATCTATTCTGATCGTGATCGTCTTGAATAATTTCAATGGAGCAAAGGAAACATGTGCCCAGGATCGCATTGTAGTGACTGAATCGTCAGTCTACTTTGGGCTTCAAATCAGGATGGATTCGGGGATATACTTGAACTTCGGGAGTTCATCTACAACCCCGAACTTTAGTTTTAACAAATACATCAAATTAACCATGAGCTTCACCGACAAATAAGCTCCATTTTTATAGTTTCAACAAGGTGGAATCCATTTGGATTTATTAGATTTGGAATCCATATGTAAATGTGCTTCATTGGATCTCGCGGATTTGTCAATTTGTTTATGGCCTGCACCGCTCACGTTGATTTCTTTCTTTAATATGGTACGATGAGATTAGCTTGTTAAAAAGGTTGAGTGTGGCCTGGTAATTAAGTAGGACTGATGATCAACTTGTTAAACACATGTAGGTTAGGAATGGATCTGTTGGACAAGCTTACTGTGAGACTCCACTTCAATGGATAGTTTTTGACGATGGAACGATGTTGCATTGAGAAAGACCCGGAGGTCTTCAACTGTCATATTTTTAACCGGAAGGATATTCTAAAAAGTTTTATTATCCCATTTCAGGCGACTTGTTTACCCTGCAAATTGTTTCCGTCATTTTCTAGTCTAAAAAATTTGCTGGGCGATCTGCCATGATCTGTATCGATAGTGATCGTCTTAAATCATTTCAATGGAAAGGTTGCACATGCTGGGATTGTATTTCAGGGACAGTAAAGCATCTACTTTGGCTGCAGCAGACGCAGCCTGCCCTCCATTTGTTTGCCACTGCCCAAGAATCTAAGATGACATGCATTAAACTTATGGGTTGAAGTGACAAATGGTGAAATGGAGGCCTCAACTCAGGGCTGGATTTGAAGATGTTAATGAGAAAAAAAGTTGGAGAAGAGAAGGCCAGTATATCCCCTAAACTTCGAACAGAAGTTCATCTATCACCCTGAATTTGGTTTCGACTTTCGACAAATATGTCAAACAGGAAGCTCCACCAAAAATAAGCTCAGCGCTTTTATAGTTTTTGTCAACTAGTTCCCCTACACTTGTATTTAAGTATACTGATCGGATAAAGCAGCGTTTGAAATGATGTATCTATTTTTCATTCCAGAAGCCGCTTGGTGTATACAAAATGGCAAAATATACAGCGTCACCTCTTCATCAGGACACCACCGTCATAACCATGCGTGCTGCTAACTCATGCGTGGGAACATACTTTCTCTGCATACGGCAGCAGAATTACAGCATTAGCATAGAAGTACCGCCATGAATTGTCCAGGGTAGGATAATGGATTCAGGAGGCGAGCTTTTACCTTGTCTAGAACTGCCGCAGCACAAACGGTCGTCATCAACATAAGTAGTATTCAGCCCCATCATCCATGAACCTACTGATATGTCATCATGGGCATAGCTCTGTAGCGATGCACTGCATATCGAAGAGAAACAAATTGCTCAAATTTCGGTCAAATTTTGACTGCATATACTCCTATATTGACTAGAGATATCAATTGGTTACTGTTGTATTATTGATTATTGACAAAGAACATCTGGACAGTGTTCCTGCATCATCAAGACCATCAAATAGATGGCAGATGGCTAACATTTATATATCAGTTAGTCAGAACAGCATTTCAGTGGCCGGTTATTAATTCATAAATGCTAAAGACAGTATTAGTAACTTATATGAAATCCAGCGAATATAGCCTGTTTTCTGTAAATCACATATACAGGAGAAGACTCATGTAACAAAAAACTAATTTGTCGTTTGACCACCAAGAAAACATCATCCTAATTGCAACATTTATTCTGTATTAATTGAACTGATGCACTGCAATTGCTCAGAGGGGCCTGGTTGGTCACCAAAACTGGTTTAGCTTAGCATGACTCAAAGATAAAACAGGTGGATGCGCACCACTTACCTGTTTATGTTAATGTAGCGTGCCAAATTGTTAGAGAGGATAAACAAAGCACCGGAAGCATGGCGAAAATACCTGAGAATTAAAAATCACAGTGAACGGAAAAAAAGTGATATACTAGAAAGTTGAAGGAGCCAGAGAATGAAAACGCTGAAGAAACAGCAGAGAACACTTCTCATAGATACTAGTATCACCCAGGAAACACATCTATTTAAACTAGGCGTATTCCTTCACCAAACAAATAGAAATTACAAGCACAATGCAAATTAAGTCTAAATATAAAACAGATGGGCTTCACCAGATCTTTAAGACTCGTAAACCATTTGTGAATCAAGGAGAAACCGCTATTAGCATGAAAAAGTAGTTATAATGACATCATCCGCTGCAAGCCATGCAAGGTTATACGAGTAGTTGGTAATATGAAAAAAAAAATCATTCTTAGGTTTGCATTGAAGGCTGAAACTCACTATCAGGAGGTTGAAATGTTTGTAGCCTCAATGTAGCATTAGACTCAGAAATCCAAATACTAAGAAAGAACATGAGATCGGTGCTTCATTAATAATGCCCATAAAACATGTAAGAACACCACTAGACACAGAATTATTGCTAATCACCCAACACTAAGATGAATATTAGGATAATAGACAAATGGCAAGGACCTTGAATATGTTAGTTTACTCACGTTTTTGAATCTCCAAACTTCCACCATTCAGGTTCATACCATTGTTGACCCCTGAAATTGAAGTTGGTATCAAGTGGCTTCAATGACGGGTTAACAAAGGGCAAAGCAATCCAATGTACTGAATGAAATATTATCCCTGAATATATAAATGATGCAATGCAATTAAGAGTGTGCAAGGTACATGTTTTCTCGATATCAAGCAATGGTAGCACCTAAGGTAAATAATGGGACTAAGCAATTCAAAAGCTATGATTCCTTGATTGGACCAAACGTTTCAGATGCTCAATGCATTCCACTACATTTACATAGCTTTCAAAGATGGAAGGATGTCAGCATGGAAGCATCACTGCTAAATGGATCCGCAAGGAAAACAAATGGTACCTCTTATGAAATGGATGGTCTAGTTGGTGTTAACATATGCCATGCATGTTGTCTAAAATCTAAATAAATAAAAACCTACTGATGATGGGAATGAAAGCACATACTCTTCACTTACAACACCTCCTGATTTCATGCAACCCATGTACAGTCCTTGGCTACCTCGACGGGCTTCAAGCATCTCAATTAATCCAGCTAATATATAGATTGTAATGAGTCAAAACATTAAGCCGAAATAAGCCATAGGTGTAATGTTTCAACAGAAAAGGAATTACCCAGGTCAAGGTTAATGTTGTCATCGACTTTCACATAGAACTCTGCGTCCCAAGCTTCAATTGCTGCACTGAAGAAAAACTTAACTTTGCTTGGTAACTCCTCTGCAGCTTCCTCATGACTTTCCTGTGTGACAATTTATTGACTATTTATGTCACATTCTGTTCTCCATAAAGTGCAAGCAGTTTGTTCAAGATTTGACAATGTCACAAAAATGGTTTTGATCTAAGCTGTATATCCAAATGTCAAATTAAAAACCGACATTTAGATGAATCAGGACAGTGAGATAACTTAAAATAGGTACTGAATTGAAGGCCCAATACGGACGAGAATGTAAGATAGTCTTCCATGCCAGAAAACAACCAAGCAAAGCCAAAAGTCTTCTGCATGTACTACAGTACTAATTTTTTGTGAAGGACAAATTGGAAAAATGATATTAAATGTTATTAGATCCTTACAAGAATCAAGAAATCTTTCGTCCGACGATTTTCATCATCGATGTTGCGGTCCAAGCTATCACCTCGATTTGCACTGAAGGACCAAACAGAACAATTTCAGTAGGAAAACTAAACATGAAGAAAAGCCTGAGAATGATATGGGGCGAATGATTGTCTAAGGTGCTAGAGATGCTACATATAAGAGATATGGATCCAGAATAAAACCTCCGACCAATGACAAAACGAATGACCACACCCTTCTCCTCAAGCTTCTTCAGAGCATCACCTGAAATTTACAGTGAGGTAAAAGAACAATTATACTCCTGTAGTTGAAACCTTATAAGTAACATAGTTTGCATCAGCAATAGCTATTAGAAAAAAAAATGAAGCTGCATTCCAACCAAATGTTATCAGGGCGCACACATTTTATCGCCGTAAACTGGAAACTAAAAGAGCAAGAACAGCGAACCTCTCGGCATCCATGAGCCACGGAAGGTGTTCCTCTTGAGCCGGGAACCAAAACCAGTGTAAACTCCAATAACAGCAAGGAGCTTCTTCTTGTCAGAACTACCAGTAGCAGTTCCATTCCCCCACAGATACCCCTCGCTCTTCGCCTTTGTAAGGTCCATTTCTGCCTCCGCAATCTTCCTCCCAATTCCACTGCCACCAAACAACCCATTTCAAATCAGCAACTAAAATTCTGAATTCTGAATTCCTCTTCAGAGAGAGAGAGGGGGGAATTACATGCATCCTAGATTCCTCAGCTTGTCCTCCACCGACAGCACCTTCGGAAGCTGCAATTTAGGCGATACCATCACACGAACTGACAAATCAAGCGGAAAAAAAAAACGAGAAGTGGGTGGAGAGGGGGAGAGATCCGCACATTGCCGGAGCTCTTCTCGAGGAGACCAGACAGGATCATCCGCGTCTGCGCGTCCTGCCACAGCCTGCAAAAAAAAAATCCAATCAACGAAACAATCAGAAAACTCCACGGAAATTCCCCCCGGATCTGAGCGCGCGGGCGCGCGTACGTACCGGCCGGCGACGTAGAGCCACGCGAGGCAGGAGAGGAAGGCCATGACGAGGGGGACCCTCCCCGAGGAGAGGGCGGCGGAGGCGGAGGCGGAGGAGGAGGAGGGGGGCTTGAAGCGGCGGTTCTCCCGCCGCATGGCGCTCGCCAGCGTCTCCATGGCGATCTGGTGGCGATCTCCTCCTCCCTACCAGCCGCCGCTGCCGCTGGTAGAGAAGAAAAGCTTCGGACACACTGCAGCTCGCCTCCACCACTCGTAGGCCGACAAGAAGACGACGAATTCGGCCCAAATTCAACTCCATTTTTGCGAAGGAGATAAAAACGGGCCGAATTCAGCCCCAAATCCCACGCCATACGCAAAATTGGGCCGAAATCAGAGAAAATTGGAGTAAGTCTAATTTGTCTCCCTGTCATGCTTTTGAGTGAATCACCCTCCTCAACCGCAAAACCGGGTATAATGTCTCCGCTTCAAAAGCCGGTGCACATCAACATAAACCACTTCCTAAACCCCCAAAATAGTCAATTTGCACTGGTTTTCGAAGATGGGAGAGACGTTATCAGACAAAAATAGACTTATCCGCAAAAGAATCGACTTGCACTGGTTTAGATGGAATAGATGTTATATCCGGTTTTGTAGTCAAAAGGACAAAATAGACTTATTGTCAAAATTCTACGCTGTTCGCTAATTTGGGCCGAATTAAGCCGAAGCCTGCGCCGTTTGGGCTAGCCCGTTGAGGCCCAACTCGCCGAATGCCCTACGAAACCAACCACACGAAGCCCGCGAGTTTTCCGTCACCTTCTCAGTTCACTCGACCTCGCCGCCGGCAATGGCGCTCCTCCTCCTCCGCCGCCGCATCCACCGCGGCCACAAAACCCTCCTCCCGCGCGCCTTCTCCTCTTCCTCCGGCGAGGGTATGTTCCCGCCTCCGACGTCCGACCCCGCATCCGCCGATCAGCGCACCACCAAGCTCTCCTCCCACTTCGCCGAAATCCGCGGCCACCTCAACGCCACCCCTCCCTCCTCCCCGCCGCGCCGCATCCCCGAATCACCGCCGCCCGACGATGTCCGCCGCAGCCTCCACCTCTTCCGCAACCCCCATCCCTCATCCGGCGCGACCTCCGCCGCCGCCGCGAACCCCAGCCCCTCCTTCGCCGACGTCTTCCGCGCCAGGCCCGCCCCTCCGACCAGCCGCGCCACCGGAGCGGACGCCTTTCCCTTCAGCGCGCTCCGCGAGAGCTTGAACAAGAACCTGGGAACGAGCCCCACGGCGTCGGCGGTGCCCCTCCCCGGCGCCACCGCCAGTTCGCCGGACTGGAGCTCCATCCTCTCCTCGCGGCAGAGACACGACGGGAAGCCGCTGCCGGAGTCGGTGTTCGGGAGGGAAACGAGGGGGGAGGCGAGGAGAGGCCGTGACGGCAAAGTGGAGGAGCAGCAGTTCATCCGGTTGTACAGCGACAATGAGCTCGGCAAGAAGCTCAGTGAACTGCGGCCACCGGTGGGTAAGGATGGGAAGGAGTGGTTCTCCGTGGAGGAGCTGAGCCGGCGACTCAAGAAGCTGCGAGAGATGGACAGGGAGGAAAGGGCTCTGCAGTCCGGGCTGGGCACCGACGTGCTGCGGGATGCGATCGTGACGCTGCAGACCAAAGATCTGAAGACGAACAACTGTAATGATACATCGTGATTTTGCTGTTCTTGTTTAGTCGCCATTGGTGAATGCCTGATGAAACTGATGGATAACCTTTTTGTTACTGATGATGCTGTGGTTACATTTGGTTTGCTAGTGGCTGCAGCACAGAGTATGTCGGCTTTGATGGCCTTTGGCTCTCAGGCCACACCGGCGTACTTGCTGGGGAAACCGCAACAGGAGTTGGTGGAGAGGGTGAGCTGGAAGTGTTGTGCATTTGATGCATTTTGTTGTTTAGATTGGATGATGTGGTGTTGAGAATTGTCAGTTGGATCTTTGCAGTACTTCCATCCCGATCATATGTCATCAGCGGAGAAGATGAAGCAGGAGCTCCAGAGTGTAAGGGATGAGTTCAAAATGTCTGAGAATGACTGTGGTTCTGCACGGGTTCAAGGTATTTTTTGTTTCTTCTGTAACCATAGAGTTGTGAGAAACTGACATCTTAGTTATGAGGAGCTTTATATGTGATCATGTTCAGGTCTTTATGGTCTTACGTGAGAATTTGTTCTCATATCAAACACTCACTTGCTATCTATTAAAATTCATTACTTAAAAGGTACACGGTAAAGCACTGATATGTGTTAACTGGTGCAAATTTATGAGTAAGTTTCTTTTGACATGTATTGCACTCATATGTGTTGACTGCTGCAAGTTTATGAGTAAGTTTCTTTTGACGTGTATTTGTTCCCCATGAGAAATGACAACGTGGTGTATACTTTTACAGTAGGGGTAGTTTTAAGGCTCAATTTTGTGTATTGAAGATGTCGTGCAATAAGAGTTATTTGTTAATACTGATATTTAGGCCATTTCTGTTTGACAATTTTTGAACTTTTTGTTGCAAACTTCTGCTGCCATTTATTTAGTCACCATCTAAGTCATGTTCCACGCTTGGGTATGTTATGTTGAGTGTTGAGTGTGTGAATAAGCTATGTAATATGCACGTCACGTTTTAAAACCCTGAACCCAGTGGTTTAGTTATTACGAGTTTAGTTAAGATTTGGCTTTATATCCAAACTAGCTAATCTTGTCCTCTAAATTTGAAGTTCTCTTTTCCAAGCTTCTTTTTAGCTCCCAATCTGTAATATAGTTTTTCTTGATTCAAAGAAAGTTCAGGTTCATGATTTTTTATGATGCTTCCATAATAGATAGATTTGCTCGGTAATTGCATGTGACTTTGAGGTGTTTACATTGGCTTGAAAAGTTCAGGCATACGACCAAAGCAACACACTAGGACAATTGCATCTCTTTAAGATTTCACATTCCTTCTCTTTTTTACCCAGAAAAACTTCCTTTGTTGTAATTGGTTTCAGAAAAAGGGAAACTCTGTCAGCAAGGCTTTAGATGAGCTTTTATCTCCATGCATGTTTATGACTTTATGTAAAATTTCCTCTTCCCTTCCACCTTTCTGGCTTGTAAGTACATATTTTAGGCTTGTATATCTGCAATTGATGCCCGTCTATGTTTTGCAGTGGCACAACTTACCACAAAAATCAAGCATTTGTCAACTACTCTGCATAAGAAGGTGATCTTACATGACCATTTTCATACAGCATCACGGTTTACCTTGCCATAGAATTTGCCGGGCTCGCCTGATTTTCTTCTGGTGAAGTGAAAGTAATATGTGAACTTGACGTGTAATTCAGGACAAGCATTCCAGAAAGGGACTTCAAGAGATGGTGCAAAGGAGGAAGAAATACCTCAAATACTTGCGCAGAACCGACTGGGATTCATACTGCCTTGTTTTGTCAAAACTGGGACTTCGTGATGTGCCGGAGTACAAGCCTCCAGATTACAAGAGCAAGAGAAGCAGCAGCGGCAAGACCAAAGCCAAGAGAAAGATGAAGAGAAAAATGAAGGCATAAGATCTAATGGTAGATTTTTCTTCCCGTTGATTTGGATTTCGTGACCAGAAACCGATAGATAGATTAGAAGCCCAGGATAAGTGTAGATTGGTCTCCTGGTCACTGGGAGTAACTGTGTTTTATTTTGGAGCTGAGCAAATAATACCAACAATCAAGGTTGCGTTTTACGGATCATATTTTATAGAAGAAAAATGTTTGAAATACTAAGAATGCTCCTGATCTACTGACGATGATTCGTGATCTCAAATACTAATTTTTTGTTGATTCACTCGTGTACTTTACTTCTACTCACCTTTTTGTCTCATGGTAACTTATCAAGGGCCATCAATGTAGAGAGCTTGTTTATTTTGTTACCAATTCTAACATTACCAAATTTTGACAATATCAAATTTTGGTAAGTTTTACATTGCTAAATTTTAGTAGCTGGATGTATTTAGCTTGATGTCTTCCAAATTTTGTTAGTGTTTTTGTTTGAGGAAAGTTTCAGAACTACCATATTTTAGTACGATGGAATTGGTAAGGTGATGGTTAGTTTGTTAACATATCAAAATTTGGTAGTGAATTTGTTAGGCAAGGTTTGGGTGGAGAAACTCCCAGGGGTCTTTCGGCTAGCTCCACGAGGTGTGGTGGGCTAGACGACTTGGGTTCGAAGCTTCACCCCTTCTAATTATTTGATATTATGTCATTCTCTAATATTTGTGTCTTTTTTAGGCAAGGTTTGGGTGAAAGAATTGGGTGAACAATCTAGTTACTTGCAACTTAAACCCAACATCCTGTGAGTCACCTGCTTCCCTGCTAACTTCATCCCGCTTGCTGAACCGCATATGCTATGCACGCCGCCTTGATCCGGTATCCTTGTCGAGCTCCGCCGCGGCGCCGCCGGCGCCGTGCATCCTCGGCGGCGATCGACGGAGATGGCGCCTCGGCTCAGCGTGAAGAAGTGCCTGATCATCCTCGCCCTCGCCGCCGCCGCGGCCATCGCCGGCTTCTTGTCCGTCGCCGGCGCGGGTCGCGGCCGTTCTTCCTCCTCTTCTCCGGCGCGTCGGCTGTCGAATGGTCTCGCCGCGGTGCGTGTGGTTTTCGTGTACGCCATGGTGGAGAGTACGTTAGTGTGATGAGCTTTGTGCTTGTCTTTTTTTTTTCGTGTGTCATCAGGAGAGGGCCCGGATGGCGATGGCGAGGGCGGCGTCGCCGACCGTGGAGCGGGAGCTCGACGCGGCGCGAGCAGCGATACGCCGGGCGGCGCGGCGGCGTCGACATGGTGATCTCGCCGGCGGCGAGGGACGAAGCAGCAGCAACGTCAGCTCGGCGAAGTGGCTGAGCTTCTTCGGCGACGCGGACCACGCTCGCCTGGAGCGCGTCTACCGCAACCCGGCGGCGTTCTACAGGTAGTACATAACTGAAATCTGTCCGTACGCCGGCGACGGCGACTCGCTGACATGTACGCCGCCGTGTTCTCTCCGGTGAGGGGGAAGCAGGAGCTACGTGGAGATGGAGAGGCGGTTCAAGGTGTACGTGTACGAGGAAGGCGAGCCGCCGATCGCGCACGAGGGCCCGTGCAAGAACATCTACGCCGTCGAGGGCCGCTTCATCGAGGAGCTCGAGCTCATGGCGCCGCCGCTCGGCGGCGTACGGACGTGGGACCCGGCGCGCGCGCACGCCTTATTCCTGCCGCTGAGCGTGTCGCAGATGGTGCAGCTC